ATCGTTATCGTCAGCAGCATCATCATAATCGTCATCATCATCGCCATCATCATCATCATCATCATCATCATCATCATCATCATCATCATCATCATCATCATCATCATCATCGTCATCATCATCATCATCAGCATCATCATCATCAGCATCATCATCATCAGCATAGTCAGCATCATCATCGTCATCGAAATCGGCATCAGCATCGTCATCGCCATCATCACCAACAGCGTCGTCATCATCAACATCAGCATCATCATCATGTTCATCAGAATCACCATCATCATCATCATCGTCATCATCAGCAATAGGAGCATCAGCATCAGCAACGTCATCATCATCATCATCATCACCATCAGCAGCAGCATCACCATCAGCATAATCATCAGCATCATCCTCATCATCATCCTGATCATCAACATCACCATCAGCAGCATCAGCATCATCCGCATCCTCATCCTCAACATCCACATCCCAATCCCCATCTTCATGGTCATCAAAATAACCATCATCATAATTACCAGCATCATAATTAACATCATCAGCATCATCATCAGGATCATCATCAACATCATCATTCTGTTCACCATCGCATTCACCATCACCAACACCAACACCATCACCATCCTCATCCTCATCCTCACCCGTATCCTCATCATCATCAGAATCAGCCTCATCATCACCATCATCATCACCATCATCATCATCATCATCCTCGGCCTCACCATAATCATTATCAGCACCACCATCATCACTATCCTCCTGTACCTCATTCTCATCATCACCATCATCGTCAACACAAACTTCATCACTCTCCTCCTCATTGACTCCTCATCCTCACTATTCTCATCCGTTCCGTCATCCTCATCCTCATCCTCATCTTCATCTTCATTACCATCACACTCAGCATCATCATCATCACCATCATCACGATTACCATCACCATCACCATCACCGTCACCATCATCATCAGCAGCATCATCACCATCACCATCATCATCAACATCATCATCCTCGTCCTCATTCTCATCCTCATCCTCATCTTCATCCTCATCCTTCTCCTTCTCCTTCTCATCATCACCACGGCTGTCCCAAATTCGAAAACACGAAATGTAACGTGACGGCCTCCTGTGCACCCTCGATCAATCGTCAACCAAAAAACTGGGCTGGCACGATGGCGGGATTCTCAGGAGGTCCTCCTTCCCTGGTGTGCGAAGCGCGCCAAGGGCGGCGCTGGCGGCGCCGCTGGGGGGGGCCAAGCGCTAATCCTAACCGCGGAGCTCCGAAAACTTATGATAACGCAATTCGTTGTCCTTTGAGTCTTCGAACCACCGGCCTCGGCCTCCGAACCCAAGGCGGCCCGTATTCCAGCGTCTGGACTGTATCGCCGCGGGCGGCAACGGGCGGCGACAGGGCCCCATCTTCTCTCGAACCACTTTGGTTGACGCAAAAGGGGGTCCAGCTGGAAGGGGGTGGTACAATAGAGGTGGGGCAATGGTATTGTAAATGTATTGCGCCAGAGAATTGTATTGCACTGTGCTGCAGCTAATGTCTTGCACGACATGGCAAATATATTGCCACTGCATTGCATTGTGTTGCAGCTAATTGGAAGACATTGTATCGCATTGGAGATCCCAACCAACACGCTTCCCATGTAGCTACCCCAACACATCTTTCCGTTTCCGTTTCCACTGCTCGACCTTTCCGTTTCCAGTGCTCGGGAGCTCAGGTTTCCAGGGTTGGAGCCTCGTTTGAGCGCGTTCCTTTATTTTCGGCGATGACGGGCGTCATGGGGGGGGGCGAAGGGGGGGTATGACATAACCCCCCCCGCCGTGTGACTCTGGCACCACAGCCGCGCCCGCGCGCACGACGATGATGAGCGACGAGCGACGAGCGACGACGACAATGACGACGATGCGAGCAGCATGTAGGTGGCGATCTGCCCCACAGCGCCTGAGTACACCACAGTGCCTGCGTGCACCACAGCGCGTGTTCACCACTGCGCCTGCGTACCCCTCAACAGCCGTGCTCAACACAGCGCCTCTGTACAACACAGCGTTTGCGTGCACAACAGCGCCGGTGTACACCACAGCGAATGTGTACACCGCAACAACCAAGTGCAACACAGCGCTTGTGTACACCACAATGCTTGCGTGCACCGCAGCGCCTGTGCACACCACGGCGCCTGTCTACACCACAGCATCCGCGTGCAACACAGCGCTGGTGTACACTACAACGCCCTGTGCACAGGACAGGTAGAAGGAGCATCTCGGTGAGGATCTGCTGCGGACTGCTAAACGCCACGCCACAGAAGTGCTGATAACAGAATGCAACGTTATTCCTTCCTCCCTCCACCTCCACTTCATCCTCCTCTTCCACCTCCTCCTCCTCCTCCTCCTCCTCCTCCTCCTCCTCCCGTCGGCTTCCTCCGCTTCCTCCTCCTCCTCCGTCACCCTTCCCCCTTTCGTGCGGGTCGGCGCTGCAACGCAAGTGCGCATCTTTGCGTGCACCGCAGAATGATCAATTGAATCAATCCACTTGGTTCTCGGACGGCCAATTTTGCAGGAGCCTCCTGGACGCAGATGGGAGGAGTTAGGATGATGCGGGCGGACTTGGGAGGACTCGTAGACTCCAGCGGCGCTCCTTCTTCCATTCGGATTCCTTTCCAAATCCTATATGAAACAAACTGCTCTCTGTGGAATCCAGAAGCGCTCCATTTTGTCATAAGGACCCTTACTAACATTATATATGCAACCGTGGCGCTCTGTTGCACACTGCTGCTGTGGTGCACACAGGCGCCGTGGAGTGCACATGCGTTGTAGTGCGCGCAGGCATTGTGGTGTACACTGGTGCTGTGCTGTACACGGCTGATGTGGTGTACGCAGGCGCTGTGGTGTACACAAGCGGCGTGGTGCCCGCAGACACTGCGGCACACACTGGCGCTGTGTTGCACATGGCTGCTGTGGTGTACATAGGCGGGGTGGTGTACACATGCGCCGTGGTGCACGCAGGAACTGTGGTGTACACAGGCGCCGTGGTGCAGATCGCCACCTACATGCTGCTGCTACCTGACCTCGGTCACTCATAGGCATTCCCAGACACTGCTGGCGCGAAACGTGACATCATGGGCCCCCTCCACCCAACCCCCAAATGATTGCCGCCATCGGCCCGGAATAACAAAAACAGGCTCCAACCGCGTCCGCGCGCACGACGATGATTAGCGACGAGCGACGAGCGACGAGCGACGAACGACGAGTGACGACTACGACTACGACTACGACTACGACTACGACTACGACGACGACGACGACGACGGTTGCGCACGGGGGGAGGGGGGGGAATTACGTCATACGGGGGGGGAGGGGGGGGCGTGGGCCATGACGCCCGTCATGCCCCAGGCGATACAGAAACACGCTCTACCTCGGGCTGGGAATTTAACACCCAAAGAGACTCCACGATGGCCCAAAAGGCGTCCAGGACGGCTCCAACGATCCAAGAGGACCTCCCGTGGGACCCAAGACAGCTTTAGAAAGCCTTCGACCGCCCCAGACGGCGCCAAGACGGCCCCACGACGGCCCCCAGACACCCACCATACGGCCAAGAGGGCCCTAAGTCGGCCGAAGAGAGCCCCAAGCCAACGCAAGAGGGCCTCAAGACGGCCAAAGACGGCCCCAAGGAACCCCCAAGACTGCCTGACAAAAGGCCAAACATTCTCCAAGACTGCCAAATCGAGTTTCACCATCATCACCAGCATCATCATGAACATCATCATTATCACCACCACCATCATGATAATCATCATCAAGATCATTATCCTCACAATCATCATCAGCAGCAGAAGCAGCATCATCAGCATAATCGTCATCATCATCATCATCATCATCATCATCATCATCATAATCGTGAACGTCAGCATCAGCATCCGCATCATCATCATCCTCATACTTATCATCGTCATCATGATCACCCCTGCATGATCAACAGCAGCATCAGCATCAGCATCAGCATCAGCATCAGCATCAGCATCAGCAGCAGGAGCAGGATCAGCATCATCATTGGCATGAGTATCCTATCAGACTCATCATCATCACACTCATTATCATCATCAGCATCATCATCAGCAGCAGCATCAGCATCATCCACATCACCATCCTCATCCCCATCCTCATCATCATCCCCATCCCATTCCTCATCCTCATAGTCATCGTAATCACAATCATCATAAGTGTCATCATCTTCATCAACATCATCATCATCATCATCAGCATCCTCATCATCCACTTCATCCTCATCATCATCACCATCATCACGAAAACCATCACCATCATCACCATCATCATCAACATCATCAACATCATCATCCTCATCCTCGTCCTCATCCTCATCCTCATCCTCGTCATCCTCCTCATCATCATGATCTGCACTACGGCTCTCCCAAATTTGGAGCCGATCCGACACATCTGCGCGAAGCTCCGACAGCTTATGATTATGCAGGTCTTTGTCTTTCGAGTTTTCGAGCCACTGGCCTCGGCCTCCGAACCCAAGGCGGCCCTGATTCCAGCGTCTGGACTGTACCCCCGCGGGCGGCAACGGGGCCCCACGTCCTCGAACCACTTTGGTTGACACAAAAGGGGGTCCAACTATAAGGGGGTGGTGCAATAGGGGTGGGGTGATAGTATTGCACGTGTATCGCGCCAGAGAGATGTATTGCAGTGTATTGCAACTGATGCATTGCACGATAAAATCCAGCAATACATTTGCGCACTAGAATGTCTTGCACGCCCCTAATATTTATAGCACCCCCCCTAATTCTACTGCACCAGATATATTGCACCACCCCCTTTCAGCTGGACCCCTTTGTGGATCCACCAGAACCGCCGACCTCGGCCCGTATGGACCACCTTGTGAGCCGCTGTGGAGCTTTTTTGTTGCACTTCCACTGTGACTGCAGCCGATGTGCCGTCATGGCACGGCTTCCTCGGTTCGATTCGAGAACCACCGACCTCGGCCTCCAGCGCCATCCTGCCCTCGAGCGCCCGCGCCGACTCCGCCGCCTCGCACGCCTGCGCCGCCTCGGCGGCGCCAGCGGCCTGCTGCAGCTCGCCCTGCGCCTCGACCAGGCCCGCCAGCAGCCCCGCCTCGCGCGCCGCCGCCGCCTCCGCGGCCGCCTCGCGCGCCGCGCGCTCCTGGGCCTGCTCGGCCCGGCACTCCTCGGGGGGGATCGCCCTGCCGGCCACCTCGACGACCCAGGCCAGGCGCAGCCTCGGCCTTGGCTGGGGCGCGTGCCCCCCTCCCGGCTCGGGTACGGCCCCCGATGGGCCGCTTGTTCAACCACCACCACCACTGCAGGTTGGCAGAGCGAGGAGGAGGAAGAAGAGGAAGAGGAGGAAGAGGAGGAGGAGCAGGACCTCCCAATCCTCTCTTGTCCCCCGTCCTACCCATGGCAATGGTGGTGGAACATTGGCGCACCAACCCCGCGTGCACACGCCGAGCCAGGAGCCCAGGAGAGCGGCCCGGCCGGGATTCGGGACGAGGGGGTCCGCACCGACGCCCCCCCCCACGCGCTCCGCCAGCTCGCCCCCGAGCTCCAGGACGCCCTCGCTGGCTTCGGCCCTGCCCTTCAATTCCTGGCGGAAAGAAATCCAAACATGATCGCGTCGTACAAAAAAACGGACGAGAGGTTTTGGCCACTTTCGGCCTCAATAGGCGCCCTCGCTGGGCCTGGGGGCCGTCAAACAACGACTCGGGAGGAAAAGCCGGCCCCAGGGAAAAGGGTCCGGACGTCCGGGGACGCCGTCCTGAAAAAATCAGGACGTCGCATGCCTGGGAAGACGCCGCTGCAATGGAAGCCAGTCCGCAAGAGACCTCCAACAGGAAACAAGACCCTGAGATGCCAGGTTTTTGGTGTGGGAACGCCACGCTGTCCATCGCCAAACCATCGAAACCCAGGAAACCCAGGGCACCCTGGAGGCAAGCGAGGTGTTTCTTGGAATGGATGTCCACTGTACTCCGCCGACCTATCCTGACCACAATTCTCAGGTCTGTGCTGCATATTTGGGGACATCGTCTGTCCCGTCGCGCCTGCCACCCGTGCCGCATCCATGTCGAATCCATGTCGAACGCACCTAAGCCGTGTCGAATCTGCGTTGAACCCGCGTCGAATCCACATCAAATTCACGTCGAACCTGCGTCGAACCCACGTTGGAGTACAAGAGAAGACTGCCATTTACAGTGCAAGACAGGTCCCCGAAGATGCAAAGCAACGAAGTGAATGCAGCTGTGGCGACAACGGCCTGGGAAGCCCGCGAAAGACGGAATCGGCGGTACAACTGCACCGGTATCGGTATTTTTCCGAGTGAAGCAAATCTCGGCCCTCTCGCTTCAGGAAGAATGCAAGCTGGAATGTCCTGCAAAAAACGTTTCCGTGACCTCTTCAGTTGCGTTCGGCTCCCAGTAGCCCCCACCAGAATGATGGCAAAGCACGAGCACGCAACAAAAACGAAACTTGTCCGCGAGGTGGTTTCAGGTAAACAACGCTTTGATCGATTCCTGGTCAACCAGTCCACGTAACTCCTACCTGAGCTCTATGCTCAAAAGGTGCCCCCATGACGTCCCGATCCCGTCCTCGGAGCCCACAGGCCCGAAAAGAAAATTATGCATTGGAGGCCTCCTGACTGGGGTCCGAACAAAAGGGATCGGAGGATCGTGACGCATCGGTGATGCATGAGCAAAAGAATCGACGATGCATCGGCGATGTCCACGATGCATCGGGGCCATCGTCGTGGAGAAACTCGGGTTCCACATCGAGCCGCATCGGCGATACATTGGCGATGCGGCGCGATCCCCCAGCCCAATCTGCTCGGACCCTGGCGGGGAGGCTTATATAGATGCCGCAGGCGGACAAAAAACCTCCAGTCTGTTGTGGCAAAATCTATGGTACAGTCGGACCCGGACCAGAAGAACATCCATCCAGAACATAACACCCTCCGCTGGCCAAAACACACAGAGCATCCAAGTGTACCCTCCCCAGAATGCACAAGAACATCCAACACACTTTTACCGTCGGCGGCTAGGCAGGGGACCTCTGCGTTTTTTTTTGATCGGATGCCTAAACGGGGATGCCGTTAGAGCGAATTGTGCCACCACGCAAGAGGAGGAGAGGGGCGAGGCGCGGCGGAAAAGGGAGCGGACGGAGCGAGCGGCTCAGGGGGGGACGGATCGCTCCCCGAGCGAGCGGCGCGGCCAGCGGCGGCTGCTGCGTCAGCAAGCCAGCGGCGGCGGGGCCCAGTGCACGGATGGATAGTTATCCCGAGTTAAAAAAAGGTGCGTGAAACATCCAACACGCAGAACATCAGGGGTACCCTCCCCGAAAGGACCTCGATCTTCTCACCTGGTCCGACCGTGTCGGTTGCAGTCGGAACCGCCTGCACAGGACGCCCGAGGGGCCACGCAGGCCTCCTCCGGGGCCAGCCCGTGCTCTCAGACCTGACGATGCCGTGCTGCTCGAGAAGACGAGACACGAGGGTTTCCTCCGCTCTGCGAGGTGGGCCTGCTGACCAGGCCCGACCGCGCCCCTCTCTCTCTCCATCTCCCTCTCTCTCTCTCCCTCTCTCTCTCTCCCTCCCTCTCCCTCCCCCTCTCTCTCGCTCGACACACACACACACACATATATATATATATATGACTGCTTTAACATTATTTGTGGGAGACATGTGAAAAAATGGTTTTCCCCAGCGCTGTAGTGCGCCTATAGAAAACAAAAGGGAGGCGGGGCAAACTGGATCGCTGGAGACGTTCCCGCGACCGCCCTGGCGCCCTGCGTGCAGGGGCAGATTCCTGCGCACCCTCTCTTGGCGTCAGGCCATGCCTCCCACGCCCTGCGACCCCAGCGTGGATAGAGACTGCGCTCAGGGACCACTCCCTGCGCACCGCGCGCCCTGTCTGGGTTGCGAACAAGCCACACCTGACACGCCCGAGCCTGGCGTGGAAAGAGACCGCACTTGGGGGCCATCCCTTGCGCACGCCCTCTGGTGCCGAGAGGGCCACAAGTGCTTTAAGATGGCCTCCAAGATGGCGCAACCGGGTCCAAATTGGCTCAAGATGGCCTCATCAGACCGGCGACATGTGATGAAACTATTATGCAGCCAACGTTTGTTTTCGGAGGCGGGGAATCGAGGCGGAGAGGAGCGGAGGCAGAGTAGAACAACAGGACAGGAGAGAAGCTAGACCAGGTTACGACGAAGGCCGGATCGCCCTCCAGGCCAGAAAGGCCCTCAGCAAGCCGCTCAGTTCGAGGCCGCACCAAGGCTACACTAGGTTACAGCGAAGGTCGCACCGCCCTCTGGGCCAAATTTGCGGGGCTACACCAGGAAACGATGAAGGCCGTCCCCCCTCTGGGCCACGCAAGCGGGGCTACACCAGGTTACAACGAGGGCCGGCGCGCCCTCCAGGCTAGACATAAGGGGCTACTACAATGTCACATCGGCATTCTCCCTGGTACCGAGGTATATACAAGCGGCATCGATCGGCATCCATGGAATTTTTCCCAGGGGGACAGATTAAAAAAAATATTCGGATGCGAATTAATGGCAGTCGGGATCCGGGGGGGGTCATCATTTTTTAACCGGTTTTGGACATTAAGTAAATATGTACATACATACAGAGGTGCCCCTATATTCGTTTCATTCGTTTCTCTTCTTCTCCTTCTTCTTCTTCTTCTTTTCTTTCTCTCTCTCTCTCTCTCTCCCTCTCCTCCCCCGGAGCTCCTCCCTGTACTCCGTGCCCAGGTGCTCCAGCGACCGGGCGAGCTCCTCCGCCCGCTCCCCCGCCCGTGCCGCTGCCTCGCGCTGCTCGCCCGCCTCGGCCCGGCCCTCGCGCCCCTCGGCCTCCGCCCGCTCCCGGGCGCCGTCGGCCTCCTCCCGGGCCAGCCTGCCGAGAGCGACGGCGCGCCACGGAGATACATAGGAACTAGGGAAGGCGACACCAACACCACCAGGGCGAGGAGATGCGCGGAGGCAAGGGGGGGTCTCCCTGGTGGTGTGGTCCCCCCCTCTCGCTCGAGACATCCCCAGCATCCAGCTCGGGGAGGCCTCGTGGACCTCCTCGCTGGAGGTGGCCCCCCTGGTGGTGTTGGTGTCGCTTCTCCTCCCTGCCAGATACATGCCCAGGCAATGATCGCGTCGTTCGCAAAACTCAGGACGGGAGGCGCTTGGCCAAGTTCGGCCCTTGGGGGGCCCTCGCCGGGCCCCGGAACCGTGAAAAAACGACTCTGGACGAAAACCCGGCCCCGGGGACAGGGTCGGGACTTCCAGAAACGCCGTCCTGAAAAAATCAAGACGTCGCATGTCTGGGTGCACGGACACCCTCCGACGAACTCGACATGTACCTTCAGGGAGGGGACGGTGCACATAGTCACTGGCTCCCAGCGGTGATTTTTACACCGCCGCCCTCCCTGGAGGCCCAGGAGCAATCCAGTGGAGGGTGCCTGTGTATACTTTTTCATGGCGGAAGCGGGCATGTCACACATCCGTGCCCTCGCGGTCTGGCCACCGAGGTGCGATCCCACGTCGTAGTCGTCGTCGTCCTCCTCGACGCCGATCGAGGCTAAGTCGACGCCAGATCGGCGCGCTCTCATCGAACACCAGACGCTGGCGCGCGCCAGTGCGGGGGGAGCCAAACAGTACCAGTACTGATATTCCCTGGGCCTCTCCCGGGTTGCCCTCCGCCCAGAATTTCCAAGCGAATCCAGCGGTGGCGACGAGGGAAGGGTAGCGGTATGGGTACCTTTTCCCTCCTCCGAAATGCACGCTAAAGACGGAATGTCGTGCACATACGAAGTTCGTTCCGCGCGAGGCATCAGCCCACAGACGCCCTTGAAGAGAAAGCACATCATGTACATAAACTTTTGGACCTCCCAGCAAATCCGCGCGGAACTCCGACAATTCATGTCTAAGCCTTCTTTTCTTCTTCGAGGCCCAATACCCGTGGGGTCGCTGCCGGAGAGTCACGCCCTTGAAGAAGAACCACAGCATGTGCAGAAACTTCTGGAGCTCCCAACGAAACGGCGCGGAGTTCCGACAAATTATGCTCGTGCCCTGTATTTCTTCGACGCCCCACTACTTTTGAATGGTCCTTCTGTCGAGGGACGCGCCCGACTTAAACAGTACCCGTGGGGACGCTGCCGACGAGTCCAGGACAGCGAGACTGTGGCCGTGGGCGTGCCCCCCGCCCTCCGAGGGGGGCCTCTCGGCGTCGAGGCCGGTCCGCAGAATCTCGCACTCCGCGCGCGCCTGCTCCTGCGCGAGCCGGGCTTCCTCTGGACACGCAAGCATCACAGGTGAGGCCCGACCACAAGAAACCTTGCACAGGAAACCCAACCATGAGACCCCAGGACGTCCATCGATTTCTGGTATAGGAGCGCCACGCTTTCCATCGCAGAACCATCGAAACCCAGGGAGCCCAGGGCACACTGGAGGCAAGCAGGGTGTTTCTTGGCATGGGCCCCTTCTGTAAAGGAACCTGGTCGGACAGGAACGGGACGCGCCGATCTTGTCCATTGGGCTCGTAGGAGGCACGAAAAAGGTAAGGATGACGGCGACGACGAGGCGGCGGATGTCGAGGATGGCAGCGTGGACAACGGGGAGGGCAGCGAGGGGGGCAGGAGGACAACGAGCAGGAAAACAAGCGCGACCACTGCAGGGTGTGCTCGGTCGTGCCAGGCAGGGCGTGCCAGTTGTGCCAGCGCAGGGCGTGCAGAGTCGCGCAGTGCAGGGCATGCCAGGCAGGGTGCGCCAGTCGTGCCAGTGCAAGGTGTGCTCAATCGTGCCAGGCAGGGTGTGCCGGTTGTGCCAGTGCAGGGTGTGCGCAATCGTGCAAGGCAGGACGAGGAAGAGATGAAGAAGAAGAAGAAGAAGAAGAAGAAGAGGAAGAAGAAGAAGAAGAAGCACAGACATTAAAGGAATCCGACACCGTGCCTGCACGGAGTGGGCGTGTTAGAATGCTCATGTGGTCCCTCTGGGAGTTTTTGTGAATGTTTTCCAGGACAGACCCCCTCCCTGGTTTGCACGCGCTCGCGTAGATCGCCCCCCTTGAAAAAATGCTCACCTGGCGCTCGATTCGGCCTCCAAACGGCCAAGATGGCCTTCAAGAAGGCTTCCAAGACAGCCAAGATGACACCACAACAGCTCCAGATAGCCCAAGACAGCTCTAGAGGCTCTGAAGACGGCCTCCAGACGGCCCAGAAGGTCCACTGAGACGGCCCAAGAGGGCTCCAAGATGCCCTCCAGGAGAGCCCGAGGAGGCGAAAAACAGCGATGCCCCCCAATGCGACCCTAAAGCTCTCCAAGAGGCCCAAGGAGGCCCCCAAGAGGCCCCCAGGAGACTCACAGGAAGTACCAAGGAGGCTCCAAGCAAGGAGCCCAAGAGTCCTTCTCCTCCTCGTCTTCACATGGTCAGTATCCTCTTTTTCCTCCCCCCCTTCCCCTCCTTCCTCCATACTGCGCGGACGAAGGCGAGGTCGAGATCGCGACCTTCCCAATTCAGACCACGTGCTGAACTGCCGCGCGGCGTGAGCTCGACCTCCTTCCTACCGCTCCGACGAAAACAAGGTCGAATTCACGACCCATCCTGGCTCAGACCAGCCGTCGGAATTGCTGTATTTCTGCACTCGGTCTGCTTCTTGCTGCCCCGGCTGCAAGTAAATAAGCTTTGGAGGGTCCGCGCGGACGTCTTAGATCTGCGCTGGACCCCCCTGGCGGCGCCTCTGGCGCCGCCCCTGGCGCGGACCGTCACAAGTTTATGGCTGCTGAGTAACGAAGAAAGGACCGAAACACTTTGGGATGGGACCTAAGCTAGGAGGGCCAACAACATTAGGGATAGGGGGACTTTTCTAAGGATGTACCGAACCAAACTGTCCAGAATTTCATTCCCTAATGCAAAGACGGGGACATCAGTGAGGCCACGTCTTCAGCGTGCTAGTAGGGTTAGGGGTTCATTTGTTCTCGATGATGTATGCAGCTTTTTCTTCGAGACATCGGCACAGGCACACACTCTCGGAGGCCCACGGGGCATTTCGTGGGGAAGCGCTGGGGTTCGAGGGAAGAGGGGGAGGACGAAGGAAGAGAATGAAGGGGCCCTGGGACACACAAATAAATACACACAAATAAAAAGATTCCCTATATTTTTCAATATTTTTGGGATTTTCGTCTTCCCCCCCACTTCCCATATTTTCCCATATTTGCTTGGGGATCGACGATTAATTGTGCCTGTGTGTTTTTGCTTCCCTCCTGAGAGAAGGAGGAGGAGGCGGAGGAGGAGGAAACGAAGGAAAAGGAAGAGGAGGAAGAGGAGGAAGAGGAAGAGGAGGAGGAGGAGGAGGAGGGGAGGAGGAGACGAAGGAGGAGTAGGAGGAGGAGAAAACGAGCAGAAGTACAACAAGGATGAGGGCAGACGACGATGAACAGCGATGGAGGCAGGAGGTGAAAAAAGGAGCGCTGACATCCGCCGGGTCTGCTTTGCGATGGAAGTCGGCGACGGACCCCCCTCCGCACACACCTGGCAGCGCCTTTGGCGCCGCCCTGTGCGCTCCGTGCGCTGCGGAACCGGCGTGGGGAAAGGGCTCCAGCGCGGACCCACGAAATCAGCGCGGACCACCAAAAGCTCATGTTTTGTCATGCCGCTTGTTGGCCATCCGTCAACCAGCCTGCAGCACATCCCTATGTCTCGGTGCCGAAGGAGTTCCCTGGCTCCAGAAGGCACACCACTGCGATTGTCATTGACCGGGGCAGGGTAATTTTACGTAGCGGTGGGGATAAGCTTGAGGCTGGTCACCCCGTAGACGTCATAGTGGCCCCAGGCAAGAGCGGCCTTTGGTACACAACTTGCCGATCCTTGCGTGCGATGAGCCACTGGCGGCATGCGTGTTTTTTTGCCTTTGGCAACCCACCCTGCGCCCCCCGAAAGCCGCGCACAAAGGCAGGGCGACGAGATCTATACATATCCACTGCTCCCTGGCCAGGCCTATCCTGAACCCGCCAGCGGTGTATACGCCACGCGCTCCTGGCTTGGCCAGGAGGGCGGATACACAGCTGCTGGTTTCAGGATGGGCCTGGCCAGGGAGCAGTGGATATGTATAGATCTCGTCGCCCAAAAAGGGTCACTCCGGCGAGCGAATGGCCACTCTTGCGCGGCTCTTCCCAGAAACACTGAAGCCAGAACCGTGACAGCTCCCGTGGGCGCCCCCTTCCCTTCCGCCAGCGCATCCGCCTCTTCTGTGCCGCCGCCGGCCTCCCGCCCGCCGCCCGCCGAGGCAGAGAAGCCAGCCCCTGGACCCAGCGAGGGCGAGAAGCCCTGCCTGGAACGCCCCACCCCGGAGCCGAGGCTGTCTTGTCTTACCCGAGGGGGAAGGAAGGAAGGAAGGGGGGCCGGCTCCTCGTAGGAGGGGGGGGGCAGCCTCGACCTGGAAGCGGCGACGCCTCGCCGACCGATCGGCAGCAGGCCCCAGACAGCGGAGCCCCACCTTTTCCTGGGCAGGCTGGGGAACCCAGGGCGGGCCCAGGCCCTGATCGGCGATGCATGGGCGACGGGGGGTTCTGGAGGATGTATCGGCGCAACGGCCGTTCCAGACAGCTCTGGAAGGCTCTCAGGGCATTCTGGATCGCTCTGGAACAATCTATCCCGGCTTTAGACCTACCTCAGCCAAGGAGGGATCCCAGTCGAGGGATCCTGGGAGAGGAGTGTGAGGGGGAAACAACATGCAGCCTGCCCAAATGCACTTTTCAGCCTTGCTGACTGCCCCCCCCCACACTGACGACTCAGAATTGATCCTTCCTGGAAAAATCGAAACGTTGTCCTTGGGCGGGGGCAAAAAAATCACCTTCTTCTTCAGAGGGCGCGAGAGATCGATGCCCTGTCGGAGATCTGGCGGTCCTGGATCCTGGAGGATGCATCGGGCGCACCTGCCCCTTCCGGAGCGCTCCGGAACGCTCGGCAGGGCGCCCCGGAACGCTCTGCAAGGATCTGCCCTGGCCCCGATGCCCACGCCCGAGCCCGAGCTGCAGACCGGGCCGCAGCCCGAGCCCGAGCCGCACGCCGAGCCGCAGCCCGAGCTCGCTGCCCCGCCCGACCCCCCTGCCGGCGCCCCCAGTTTTCGGCTGTACAGCGGAGGCCAGTTCACAAGAAGCCTTCCTCAAGGAACCCAACCCTGAGACCCCATGAAGTCCATTGATTTTTGGTGTGAGAAGGTCACGCTTTCTGTAGCGAAACCATCGAAACACAAGAAACCCAGGGCACCCTGGAGGCAAGCAGGGTGCTTATTGGCATGGGCCCCCACTGTACACGCAACAGCGACCCTGGGCAAGAGGAAGCTCTGGTGCGCGGCTCAGGGGGGCGCAAGGTGGCCAAAGCCATGCCCGCAGGCAGCTGCTATCACGTCGCTTTCAGCGAGCGTGGTGCCCCAATAGGCCTGCGCCAAACCCAGACCCGCGACGTCATGACTTTTGTCATGACGTCGACCCCAAAAGTCTCAACCCATTCCCTGGAACCGACTTCTCGTCCTGAGTCGCCTTTTGACGGTCCCGAAGCCCAGCAGGGGCCCCCGGAGTCCGAAAATGGCGAACAGAAGTGCGTCGTATTTGTTTCACGACTCGAGGGGTTTTGGGAACGGGCCCGAATCAAAGGTCCCTCCAGAAAAAGGTCGCTCTTACTTGGCGGCGCGAGCAAGGGGGTAGAGGGAGTGGGGGAGGCTTCGTAAAGGCGGCTGCCCCTTAGAAGGCGCTGGCCGCCCTTCTGAGAAGCCAGGGGCGCGCCGCTTCTAAGAAGCACCCCCCCAGCCTCTTAGAAGCACGGACCTGCTGTGCAGCAGCAGAAGCAGCTTCTCAGAAGCAGGCCTCCCTGCTTCTTAGAAGGACGCCCAGAACAGCTGCTGTGAGAAGCAGCCGCAAGCTCCTTGGAAGGGGCACCCGCGCCTGCTGAGAAGGGGGGGAGTGCTTCCAAGACGCCTTCCCC